ACCTGGTGAAGTGAAGAGCAGCTCCTCCAGTTTTACCTGGTGAAGGAGCAGCTCCTCCAGTTTACCTGGTGAAGGGAGCAGCTCCTCCAGTTTACCTGGTGAAGTGAAGGGAGCAGCTCCTCCAGTTTACCTTGAAGTGAAGGGAGCAGCTCCTCCAGTTTACCTGGTGAAGGGAGCAGCTCCTCCAGTTACCTGGTGAAGGAGGAGCAGCTCCTCCAGTTTACCTGGTGAAGTGAAGGAGCAGCTCCTCCAGTTTACCTGGTGAAGTGAAGGGAGCAGCTCCTCCAGTTTACCTGGTGAAGGGAGCAGCTCCTCCAGTTTACCTGGTGAAGTGAAGGGAGCAGCTCCTCCAGTTTACCTGGTGAAGTGAAGGGAGCAGCTCCTCCAGTTTACCTGGTGAAGTGAAGGGAGCAGCTCCTCCAGTTTACCTGGTGAAGGAGCAGCTCCTCAGTTTACCTGGTGAAGGAGCAGCTCCTCCAGTTTACCTGGTGAAGTGAAGGGAGCAGCTCCTCCAGTTTACCTGGTGAAGGGAGCAGCTCCTCCAGTTTACCTGGTGAAGGGAGCAGCTCCTCCAGTTTACCTGGTGAAGTGAAGGGAGCAGCTCCTCCAGTTTACCTGGTGAAGTGAAGGGAGCAGCTCCTCCAGTTTACCTGGTGAAGGGAGCAGCTCCTCCAGTTTACCTGGTGAAGGGAGCAGCTCCTCCAGTTTACCTGGTGAAGTGAAGGGAGCAGCTCCTCCAGTTTACCTGGTGAAGGGAGCAGCTCCTCCAGTTTACCTGGTGAAGTGAAGGGAGCAGCTCCTCCAGTTTACCTGGTGAAGTGAAGGGAGCAGCTCCTCCAGTTTACCTGGTGAAGTGAAGGGAGCAGCTCCTCCAGTTTACCTGGTGAAGTGAAGGGAGCAGCTCCTCCAGTTTACCTGGTGAAGGGAGCAGCTCCTCCAGGTTACCTGGTGAAGTGAAGGGAGCAGCTCCTCCAGTTTACCTGGTGAAGTGAAGGGAGCAGCTCCTCCAGTTTACCTGGTGAAGGGAGCAGCTCCTCCAGTTTACCTGGTGAAGGGAGCAGCTCCTCCAGTTTACCTGGTGAAGTGAAGGGAGCAGCTCCTCCAGTTTACCTGGTGAAGTGAAGGGAGCAGCTCCTCCAGTTTACCTGGTGAAGTGAAGGAGCAGCTCCTCCAGTTTACCGGTGAAGTGAAGGCGCAGCTCCTCCAGTTTACCTGGTGAAGTGAAGGAGCAGCTCCTCCAGTTACCTGGTGAAGTGAAGGGAGCAGCTCCTCCAGTTTACCTGGTGAAGTGAAGGAGCAGCTCCTCCAGTTACCTGGTGAAGTGAAGCAGCAGCTCCTCTCAGTTATACCTGGTGAAGTGAGGAGCAGCTCCTCCAGTTACCTGGTGAAGTGAAGGGAGCAGCTCCTCCAGGTTACCTGGTGAAGTGAAGGGAGCAGCTCCTCCAGTTTACCTGGTGAAGTGAAGGGAGCAGCTCCTCCAGTTTACCTGGTGAAGTGAAGGGAGCAGCTCCTCCAGTTTACCTGGTGAAGTGAAGGGAGCAGCTCCTCCAGTTTACCTGGTGAAGTGAAGGGAGCAGCTCCTCCAGTTTACCTGGTGAAGTGAAGGGAGCAGCTCCTCCAGTTTACCTGGTGAAGTGAAGGGAGCAGCTCCTCCAGTTTACCTGGTGAAGTGAAGGGAGCAGCTCCTCCAGTTTACCTGGTGAGTGAGGGAGCAGCTCCTCCAGTTTACCTGGTGAAGTGAAGGGAGCAGCTCCTCCAGTTTACCTGGTGAAGTGAAGGGAGCAGCTCCTCCAGTTTACCTGGTGAAGGGAGCAGCTCCTTCAGTTTACCTGGTGAAGGGAGCAGCTCCTCAGTTTACCTGGTGAAGTGAAGGGAGCAGCTCCTCCAGTTTACCTGGTGAAGTGAAGGAGCAGCTCCTCCAGTTTACCTGGTGAAGTGAAGGGAGCAGCTCCTCCAGTTTACCTGGTGAAGTGAAGGGAGCAGCTCCTCCAGTTTACCTGGTGAAGTGAAGGGAGCAGCTCCTCCAGTTTACCTGGTGAAGTGAAGGGAGCAGCTCCTCCAGTTACCTGGTGAAGTGAAGGGAGCAGCTCCTCCAGTTTACCTGGTGAAGGAGCAGCTCCTCCAGTTTACCTGGTGAAGTGAAGGGCAGCTCCTCCAGTTTACCTGGTGAAGTGAAGGGAGCAGCTCCTCCAGTTTACCTGGTGAAGGGAGCAGCTCCTCCAGTTTACCTGGTGAAGTGAAGGAGCAGCTCCTCCAGTTTACCTGGTGAAGTGAAGGGCAGCTCCTCCAGTTTACCTGGTGAAGGGAGCAGCTCCTCCAGTTTACCTGGTGAAGTGAAGGGAGCAGCTCCTCCGTTTACCTGGTGAAGTGAAGGGAGCAGCTCCTCCAGTTTACCTGGTGAAGTAAGGGAGCAGCTCCTCCAGTTTACCTGGTGAAGTGAAGGGAGCAGCTCCTCCAGTTTACCTGGTGAAGTGAAGGGAGCAGCTCCTCCAGTTTACCTGGTGAAGTGAAGGGAGCAGCTCCTCCAGTTTACCTGGTGAAGGGAGCAGCTCCTCCAGTTTACCTGGTGAAGGGAGCAGCTCTCCAGTTTACCTGGTGAAGTGAAGGGAGCAGCTCTCCAGTTTACCTGGTGAAGTGAAGGGAGCAGCTCCTCCAGTTTACCTGGTGAAGGGAGCAGCTCCTCCAGTTTACCTGGTGAAGGGGCAGCTCCTCCAGTTACCTGGTGAAGTGAAGGGAGCAGCTCCTCCAGTTTACCTGGTGAAGTGAAGGGAGCAGCTCCTCCAGTTTACCTGGTGAAGTGAAGGAGCAGCTCCTCCAGTTTACCTGGTGAATGAAGGGAGCAGCTCCTCCAGTTTACCTGGTGAAGTGAAGGGCAGCTCCTCCAGTTTACCTGGTGAAGTGAAGGGAGCAGCTCCTCCAGTTTACCTGGTGAAGTGAAGGGAGCAGCTCTCCAGTTTACCTGGTGAAGGGAGCAGCTCCTTCCAGTTTACCTGGTGAAGGGAGCAGCTCCTCCAGTTTACCTGGTGAAGGGAGCAGCTCCTCCAGTTTACCTGGTGAAGTGAAGGGAGCTCCTCCAGTTTACTGGTGAAGTGAAGGGAGCAGCTCCTCCAGTTTACTGGTGAAGGGAGCAGCTCCTCCAGTTTACCTGGTGAAGGGAGCAGCTCCTCCAGTTACCTGGTGAAGTGAAGGGAGCAGCTCCTCCAGTTACCTGGTGAAGTGAAGGAGCAGCTCCTCCAGTTTACCTGGTGAAGGAGCAGCTCCTCCAGTTTACCTGGTGAAGGGAGCAGCTCCTCCAGGTTACCTGGTGAAGTGAAGGGAGCAGCTCCTCCAGTTTACCTGGTGAGTGAAGGGAGCAGCTCCTCCAGTTTACCTGGTGAAGGAGCAGCTCCTCCAGTTTACCTGGTGAAGGGAGCAGCTCTCCAGTTTACTGGTGAAGTGAAGGGAGCAGCTCCTCCAGTTTACCTGGTGAAGGGAGCAGCTCTCCAGTTACCTGGTGAAGTGAAGGGAGCAGCTCCTCCAGTTTACCTGGTGAAGTGAAGGGAGCAGCTCCTCCAGTTTACCTGGTGAAGTGAAGGGAGCAGCTGGATCCTCGTTTAAAGGGAGAGAAGAGTCTGGAGGACAGAGCTCGGCTTACGCTGTAAAGAAACAGATAGCTTGAATTGACACACAACACACACACACACACACACACACACACACAACACACACACACACACACACACCACACACACACACACACACACACACACACACCAACACACCACACACACACACACACACAACACACCACACACACACACACACACCACACACACACACACACACACACACACAATAGATGCAAAGTGCACAAAGATCCTCATGAAACCTTTAATAGTTAAGCTGAACATGAAATAGAAAAATGCATAGCTGTTTGATTTACACTTCAAAGACAGGAAACAGAAGATTCAGTTTTTACAGAAACGTTGTATAAAGACGTTTTATCAACCACTTCAAACATTCAGGAGACCCAGGTCAAGTTTGGATGCACACAAGCAGATTATTATTTGTGTTGTTAAATTCATCTGAATGAGGTTTTTAGTTACATCATCTCAAACTGCTTTCAGGAGAAATAAACATTTCTGCAGAAGTCTGACTGAAGGTTTCACACTAAACTTCCTGCTTTTCTGTTTGTAATACAGGAAGCTGTTCCATTACACAAACTCAGAAACTGACTTCATGTTTCTGAACGTGTGTGTGTGTGTGTGTGTGTGTGTGTGTGTGCGCTTTAAAAGGACAAATGAACCTTTGATGAACTTTGATGAAACTTTCTGCAGATTTCATTAACAACAAATTGAAACTAAAGCTCAGAGCTCAAAGCTGCTGCTGGAAGTTACATTACTATCATCTGATGGTGCGTTCAGGGACAGTCTGACATTTAGCTTTCCCTGCTCAACAGACGTCATCAGGAAAGTTTGTTTTTGTTATTGGACGTAGTTTTTATTGATTTGAATTTTCTTTTGCTTCCACTTTACAGTCGGAGCTTTTTAAAGGATGACCTTCCTTTGACCTTTGACCTTTGACCTCTGAAGGGTGTAAACGATCTCCTGATGTTCACTGAAGGATAAAGTGTGTTTACTTTGAACCCTTACAGCAGCAGTTAGATCATTAAAGTGTAATGAAACCAGTTGTAAACATGAAAACAGCGGCACAGGCGTGCGTCTGGGTTCGAGACCTCTGCGGGTTCTCGGTCCCACAGGCGTGCGTCTGGGTTCGAGACCTCTGCGGGTTCTCGGTCCCACAGGCGTGCGTCTGGGTTCGAGACCTCTGCGGGTTCTCGGTCCCACAGGCGTGCGTCTGCGGGTTCGAGACCTCCGCGGGTTCTCGGTCCCACAGGCGTGCATCTGCGGGTTCGAGACCTCTGCGGGTTCTCGGTCCCACAGGCGTGCGTCTGGGTTCGAGACCTCCGCGGGTTCTCGGTCCCACAGGCGTGCGTCTGCGGGTTCGAGACCTCTGCGGGTTCTGGGTCCCACAGGCGTGCGTCTGCGGGTTCGAGACCTCTGCAGGTTCTGGGTCAGTTCCTGCAGCCGATCTCCTCCTTGTAACGGGTGGTGAGCGTGTCGGCTTTACGCGTCAGTTTCAACAGAACGGCGTGGAGTCCGCTCAGGTGGAAGTGAAACTGTTTCTCCAGGTCGTCCTCCTGCGCCCCCTCGGCCACGCCCACCTTCTCCTTCCGCCGCTCCTCGCCCTGCAGGACGCCCCACTCGATGTCGTTGCGGATGGACTTGAGCAGCACGTACGAGCCGTACATGTCTCCTTCCTGTTGGAGGTAGGCGGGGCTGTTTGTGGCGAGGCTGTTTGAGGCGGTCACCGGCGCCTTCGCGTCCTCTGCGTCGTCCAATGGGACGTCCCGCAGCAGGCTGGGCACCATCACCGTGTGGTCCATGTTGTTGACGGCGCCGATGAAGCGGTTCATGGCGTTGAAGAGAGAGTTCTTCTGGTTGTAGGAGTCAGATATCTGCATCATGGCGAGCTGCAGAGCGCCGTGTGTCACAGTCTGGGGACAACTTAGCCCGATAAAGCTCTTTAGAGGATTACAGCCTGATCCGGGTCAGGATGGACAGAGCCCACAGGAGAACTCACCTCATGGATCAGGGTTTACTCTGCTGACCCGCTCTGCATGCGGGACGCGACCCAGCTGTTTCACCACACAGGGACAGAGGCTACACTAAAACCACAGAGGAAGAAACGGTGAGGAGCAGGTTCATTAAATCAAGAGAAGAAGACAGAAAGTTAGTTTATCTTCCAGCTCAGCAGGCACTGAAACACAGGAAGTCTGTTAGCATCAGCAGGCTAACAGGAGCTAACCGTTTAACGGACTAACGGAACCGGAACACTCCCGGTTAGCTCTTTGATTTAAAGAGTTAAAACACAGAAACGACAGACTGAAGAAGAAGATTTAAAATGCTTCTGATACGACACTAAGCTAACGTTAGCATCCTCCGAACACCCGGTGTGCGCAGCGGCGGGACCGTTAACCGTTAAACCTCCAGCTTCACCTTACCGTGCTTCCGGTGATGTTTCCGGTGATGTTTCCGGTGATGTTTCTCGGTGTTGTTGGTGTGTCTGCAGCAGCTTCAGCCCGGTAAGCTTTCCGTTATGAGGGTCTGTTTTGGGAGCAGCAGCCGGTGTTACAGGGCGGAGGGGCGGGGCGTGAATTAGCAGGAAAGAGCGACACAGCCAATCACCGGGCGGGAAGACTTGTGACGTCACGAGAACGCAGGACATACCGTCCGCTGAGAGGTGTCAGGTTACACTTTAATGTTTACTGTGTGTGTTTACTATCAGAGTGGGAAACACTTTTATATAACTGGAGACTAATTTACATTTAAGAAAACATTTTAACATTTAAGAAAACATTTTAACATTTAAGAAAACATTTAAGAAAACATTTTAACATTTAAGAAAATATTTTAACATTTTAGAAAATATTAGAAAACATTTTAACATTTAAGAAAATATTTTAACATTTTAGAAAATATTAGAAAACATCTTAACATTTAAGAAAACATTTTAGAAAATATTAGAAAACATTTTAACATTTAAGAAAATATTTTAACATTTAAGAAAACATTTTAACATTTAAGAAAACATTTTAGAAAATATTAGAAACATTTTAAATTTAAGAAAATATTTTAACATTTAAGAAAATATTTTAACATTTAAGAAAACATTTTAACATTTAAGAAAACATTTTAGAAAATATTAGAAAACATTTTAACATTTAAGAAAATATTTTAACATTTAAGAAAACATTTTAACATTTAAGAAAACATTTTAGAAAATATTAGAAAACATTTTAACATTTAAGAAAATATTTTAACATTTAAGAAAACATTTTAACATTTTTTTTTTTAAATATTTATTTTTGGGCTCTTGTGCCCTTAATGAAGAGATAGGACAGTGGATAGAGGTGGAAATCAGGGAGAGAGAGTGGGGATCGACATGCGGGAAAGGAGCCACAGGCTGGATCCGGACCCGGGCCACCCGCTTCGAGGACCACAGCTTCCATACATGGGACGCGCGCACCAACCACTGCGCCACCAGCGCCCAAACATTTTAACATTTAAGAAAACAGAATAAAAAATAAAACCATTTGACCAAGGACAGAATCTCATTTATATTTCAGAAAACAAGATTACAAGATGTGAAAGCACCAAGATAAAGTTACATACAGTGTTATGTGGAGTGGCACCTCGTGGAGAATGAAAACACCTCTGAGACTTTAAAGATTAAAAAAATGCAAATTGAAATATAAAGTTTATTATATAAAGACATTTTTGAGAGTTTTTGTTGAATGAGATGAAAACTGGTTGAGCTGACGTTAATTATCCATCAGAATGAGACTCACTAACATCATTTACATTATGAGTAAATGAAACAGCGCCCCCATGTGGCTGTATGTAATCATCACTGTCGTTTTTAATCTCGGGCTCAAATAGCGCGCAGGATCAGAGTGGATTTAGAACAAGAAGCTTCACAGACATGTTGTGAGGAGCTCTGAGAGAGGAGGAGGATATATGACCTTTAAGGCTCATGTCACTGTGAGAGACATTTTGGACCTGCTGCTTGCCGTACTGACACAGAGTCACTCTGTTCTCCTCACATTCACATTAAAACCTTTAAATCAAAGTTGACAGAAATATAATCAACACAGAATCACAAGGCAGCGGGCCATCTGAAGTCTTTTATTGTTACAGATATTAATGATGTTGTAGTTTAATTTGACCTGAGCTCAAAACACAAAGACGGAGAATCGACCAATCAGCTTCAACGTGGAGACCAAACACAGACAGAAGAGGGAAATCATTCAAAGCCTCAGAAATAAATAAAAAGAGGAATCTCGACAGCTGTGGTGTGTGTGTGTGTGTGTGTGTGTGGGTGTGTGTGTGTGTGTGTGTGTGTGTGTGTGTGTGTGTGTGTGTGTGTGTGTGTGTGTGTGTGTGTGTGTGTGTGTGGTGTGTGTGTTGTGTGTGTGTGTGTGTGTGTGTGTGTGTGTGTGTTGTGTGGTGTGTGTGTGTGTGTGTGGGGGTTGGTGATGGTGACGAGCACCCCGTCGTCTCTTTCCTGTAAATGTATGAAATAAAAGAACAAGAAAGTTAAAGTTTGGTGAAAAGATTCTTGTTCTCAGGATTTCTAAGAGTGTGTGTTGTGTGTGTGTGTGTGTGTGTGTGTGTGTGTGTGTGTGTGTGTACCTGTTACACATCTCGTACTGGTTGGCGTTGTGATGAAGCGGGACAAACAGCAGGCGAGTGACATCCCGATCAGCTGAGACGGAGAGAGCAGAGTTAGCCTCAGTCTGTAGTTCCCCACAGTTTTCCCTCTGCCTACAGTCCTTATGCTAAGCTACGCTAAAGACATTCTGCAGCTGATTCAACTCAAACCAGGAAGTAAGTGTTGTGTTGTGCATTATTGTGTAGTACTGAGTGTGTACCTGAGAGAAGGCGATGCCAAAGGTCACTCCAGCGATGATTCCCATGTTGCTCTCGATGAACGACGTCACCAACTCATAACATCCTGCAGACACAGTGAGGTATTCATGTGTGTACGTTATGATAAATCTGTTTATCTTCTGTTTAAATTCTAATTAATTTATTGTTTATGTACAAAATAATTAAAGATTTTAATCCAATAAGAGTTTCATAAATCACAGCTGTTAAGAATCAAGACTCAGAAGCATCGAATCATCCATCGACTTCGTCCAATCAGGGATGTTGTTGCAGACAGATGACCACGGACAGAGAGGTGTGTTGTGTGTGTGTGTGTGTGTGTGTGTGTTGTGTTGTGTTGTGGGTGTCGTACGTGTGCCACTGCAGCCAGGGTCGTGTTTTCAGGTCTGCTGAGCTGCAGTCGGAGTAACTGATGCAGCAGCTGGAGGAGAACTCCACCGACGGGAAATACACGCTGCTGAACCAGCTGGTGTAGTTATAGACTCCACAGCATTGTAACTACGGAAACAAAGAGGGACATATGAATCTGTCTGCTTTTCATACATTTAAAAAATAACTATAAAATATCTGATGGTCAATAATTTTCTCAAACATGTAGAGGACCGAGAATAAAACCTCTGAGGAACCCCAGAAAACTGTTTACACTCTGAGAAAAT